GCTCCAAGTCTCCCGTCTTGTATGGAGATCTCGGCAATTCGCCATTGTTCGGGTTTTAGTAAAAGCCTTCGCGCATCATGTGAAACGAACACGACGTATGATATCACTCCCAGCCCTGCTCCTCGCTCCCTGCTCCTCCTCGCCGCTCCACCACACGCAGCACCTCGGCGCTCTCGGCCATCGCCTCGTGGTACCGCGCCGGGTCGCCAAAGTCAGTCTCGCGCAGCGGCTGCACCAGCGTCGCGCGGTCGGCCCGCTCGCCGTCCGCGTCGCCCTCGCAGCGGAAGGGGCCGACGCGCGTCCGGACGAGCCCGGTCATGTGCGCCGCCGAGCCGACTGCGCGGCCGAGGTCGACGATGAGCGTGCGGACGTATGTGCCTCCCGCGCAGTCGACGAGCAGCTCAAAGGAGCCGCTCTCGGCGTCGAAGCGAGACACCTCCAGCGAGTGCACCGTCACCCGGCGCGGCTCGACGTCGCCCTCCTCGATCTTGCCCGCGCGCGCAAGCTCGTGCAGCGGCTTGCCGCCGCGCTTGAGCGCAGAGTAGATGGGCGGACGCTGCAGGATGGAGCCGGTGAGCCCGGCCGCGGCGTCGCGCAGCGCAGCCAGCGTCACGTGCTCCGCCGGCTCGCTCCGCGTGATGGCGCCGCTCGAGTCTTGCGTGTCGGTCTCGGTGCCGAGGCGGGCGGTGGCGCGGTACGCCTTGCCGCCCTTGAGGTAGCCTTCGAGGCCCTTGCAGCCGGCGCCGATGCCGAGCACGAGCAGGCCCTCGGCCAGCGGGTCGAGGGTGCCGCCGTGCCCAACCTTGAGCCGTGAACGGCGGCGAAACGTGTGGCCCGCCTTCTTCAGGTCCGCCTCGAGGCAGCCCCGCGCCTTTGCGACGACGTCGAAGCTCGTCCAGTTGGTCGGCTTGTACGCGACCACGATGCCGTCCGGCTTGGGTGGCAGCGTCGCGGCGGCGGTGGCGGCAGAGGCGGGCCGGCGCGCCAGCGGGTCCGTCTGCCGAGCGAAGCTGGCCTCGCACGCGAGCGGCTTGCGCGTGCGCACGCCGACGGCGCGGCTGCTGGCGCTGAGCTGCCGGCTGAGGGCCGGACGCCAGGCGAGCGAGCAGGCCAGGTGGAGCGAGAGGACCACCATTCGGCTAGAGGCGGCGCGTTCGCGTGACTAGCCTGCAGCACCGATTGGCAGCATTCACGCACTCCGGGCCCTGGGTTGGTTGGGTGGTCCCCCACTCTGCGCACTCCAGGCCTCCAGAAGTTGGTTGGTTGGTCCCGCACTCTCCGCACACATATTGTCTATTACACACATAACCAGACAGCCCCTCCCGACGGGGCGTTGCGTCCAGTGGTGCGCCAGGTCCGATGAGGTCGCAAAGCACGGGCATCGTGGGCGCCCAGCCTTAGGTCACTCGCGGCCCGCGCGACACTTCCGAGAGATTTCTTCGTGCTTTCATAAGAAGAGAAGACTCCTTATCAGCTGGTCGGCCGCCATGTGGGCCTCCGGGCCTGCTGCGGCGGCGCGGCCGGTTGAGGCCGGGCTCGGCCCGGCCCGCGACGGCTGGCCGCCGACGAGCGCGCTCGCGCTGCTCGTCAAGATGGCGGCGGTGGCGATTGCGGCGACAACAGTTCAGGCGTACAGCGCTCAGGCGTCTGTCTTCTGTCGTCTGTTGTCGCATTTCGCACACGCGCGCGCCGCGCGACCCGCGTCGCTCCGCGAGGGCATGAGCCTTCCGCGATTCGAACCCGCAGCCAAAAGCTGCTCGCTCGAACCGCGGCCGACTCTGCCACCGCGGCCGCAGCTGCTGAGCTCTCCAGAAAACTGGTGCCTCATATGCTGCCTCCCTGCGGATGCTGCCGGCGAGCCTGGCGGTCCGCTGTACTACAAGGAAGTGCTGACTCGATTTCTACTCGAATTCTTCTACCCCCGACTCGGAACGCGAATGTGACAGGACCATCAGGTCCTTCAGCCACCAAAGCGAGATCACCCGAGAGCAGCTGAGCCTGCCTCTGGCCTCGCCTCCCTCTCCTTCAGGCATTCGTGGCATCCTATGGGTCGTCCAGAGTATCGACCTCTGGCGAGTCAGCCAGCCCCACTTTGAGGGCGCCATGAAGTACAGCGATCGCCAACTCGCTGGCCTCTCCGCAGGCCCCCCCGACCGCGTCGAACTCATCGGCGCGGGCTCTCTCGGCTACGGGACCGGCCCCAGCTTCGGCTGAGGGCTAACAAGCTGCCGAACCCAAATCACTGTGAGAGTCGTGATTTCTTGTACTTGTTGGTTAATAAAAATCTCTCTCTCTCAGAGGGGGGGGGGGGCTGGTTGGCTGGTCCCGCACTTCGCGCACTCGGGCCCGGAAACAGTTGGTTGGTTGGTGTGGTCTTTTGCGCAGTGTGCGTGAATAGGGTTGGCAGCTTGGTAAAACCCTCGGGTGAAGCGCCGGGGACCAGGCCACACCCGCACTGATTTCTCGATTCGAGAGCGCCTTCGTTGTTAATAGTACAAACCCAATGGTCCTCTGCGAGCGGTCCTTCGTTGCAGTCGCACACACGCACACGCCACACCGCACCGCGCGCCCGCCCACCGCCCCGCCCAGGCGGGAAAGAGATGAGGGGATGGGACAGCAAAGGAGGAACCCCAAACACGTATGGGAGGGTTCAGTAATGCGCCACGCTGCCCGGCGTCTCTCACTTTCCGGGACAGCCCCGCCCTTGTGAGGCAGGAAAGTGACGGCTACCCCGTACGCCCTGGTGCTGCTACCCCGACGCCGACCGCCCATTCCCCCCTCCTCGTTCCCCCCTCGAATGCTCTGGACCCCGACAAGCCGCCCGACGTTGGGCCTCTGCCCCGCACGCTCCCGCCCCTCTGCCCCTCACACACACCCAGGCCCGACATGCACATACAAGACAAACCCGGCGTCCTGCTCTCAAAAGAAAAGAAAAAATGGGAAGGAGGAGACCAGCGGGGGAGACTCCCCGCCTATGCAACACCCCAGAGAGGGGCTGCCATCGCCGAAGCTGTGCCTAAGCATAACTCCCA